GGAGGAGCTGGAGGAAGTGTCTGGAGAGAGGGAAGTCTGGGCATCTTTGCTTAGACTGCTGCCCCCGTGACCCAGTTCCGGATAAGCGGAGGAAAATGGATGGATGGATAAATAATTAAGGGGTGGGGTGGTTTAAAAGGAAAACAAACAGCAGTCTGCCTTGCTATTCTGATGTTTGGTTGACCCAGCTATAGACCATGATGCTGCCTCAGGGATCAGGACAGTTGATAGGTGTTGTGCATCTGACTTTTGTGTGCAAGACAAGCATTTGGATTTTGTCACAAAGGTGCAATTAATTTTCATCTTTTCTTTAAACCATTTGTACACCCTCTCCTTTCTCTGAGAGTTTTCCTCATCCAAACTTAACCATAGTTCATTTGCCATGTTTAAGTTTGCATTGGATGTAACCCAGGGATTACATTAAACATTCATCTCTAATGATGGGGTAGGGGAGTAAAGGTACTGAGAAACAGACTAACACAGTGTTGATTTTGGTCTTTTATGTAATTTGTTGACAGTACTAAAAATATAAACCAATAAATAACAGTAGTCTTTTCTTTTGAAGCCAAACCTTGATGGCACTTCACACACTTCTCTCTGTCTGCTTGCCTCTCACCAGTCCTCTGTCAAAGAAGGTTGTGGATGGAACAAAAACCCGAAAGGTGAAGACCAGCCACCTTCTGCGCATAGATGACCATGACTTCACCATGAGGCCCGCCTTCGCAGGTGAGCCCCTTGAGCTGCTTGTGTTCCATGATCATGTTGAATAGAGTCGGGGAACTATTCATCCACTGTTCATGTCTTCAGAGAAGTCTGTTTTCTGAGCAATATCACATGCTGACCAGAGCTGATATTTAAGCTCAGCAGGCCACTGACATTGTCTGAGTCTCTCTGCTGGTAACTTGTCAAGGTTCACACATTTAGTTGAGTGTGAATGTTGATATCATGCTGTGAAATCACTCCACTGCCAAATTTATAGAGGATGGAAATACATCAGATGGAGCTTGTAGCCGCAGGCGAAAGAAACATGGGTGAAAGCAGAAATACTCAGCAGGTTCTCTTACATATCGACACAGAGCTGAACATCATCCTGCAGCATCTTGTAGAAAAAAGAGGAACATTTCCTCTCATGTCCTCTGCTATCTGCTGATTGCTTGTGTCTTCCTGCTTTGACACTGATCAGGCACTCCTGACTCTGGCCGTGTCTGAGTGGTTAGAAGGATGAGGCTCACTCAAAATAGTGAGCAAATAGAATAGTTTTTCACCATATTTCAACTAAAAATGTTAGAAAAAAGTTACATACTGTAGTTTTAAGGCTGTTCTATGTGTTCTTGTTTTACACCCTGAATGTCAGGACAAGACCACTCTGCTGACATTAGGCAATTAAAAATATGGAGCGTATTGGTTGAACTAAAGAGTCCTGTTCCCTGGTGTTATAAACAGGCATAAAAGGGCACAGGAGGAGGTGGAGAGCCAAATGGAATGTCTCACAGTGAATTTCATGCTCCTCTGGGGCCACAGTTGCAGCCACAGATGATAGCACGGATCCCACGGAGAACCACGTTTTATCTTGCACATGTCAGTTTGTCATTTATTTGATCATCAAAAGATGCCTTGTGTAAGCGTCCTGCTACTGCCTGTGATACTGCTACTGCCACATTCATTAGACTGAGAAAAAGTGTGTGCAGCAGCTGCTGTGGGTCCTCCTGGCTTCAAAAGGAGCGACTGCAGTGTTACTAATGAGAGCCTCTAAAAGTGCCATCTCTTGTTTACTGGTGGAGTGATATGGTGAAGATACAGAGAACAACACTCTTAGGTTGGGGATTAGAGGAAGGTGAAGTTCCAATCCAACAAATCCTGCAGCATTATGTTCAAATTATTTAAGTGTCCAGTATCTTATGGTGGCTAATCCAAAAGAACAAAGATATTGACTAGAAAATGTTAATTGTTTGGTTAAGATTTTTCTGCTTCTACAATGTGTTTCAGAAAGCAACAGTAGATGAGGTTTGTATTATCAGTAATGTGCAGGTGGAGCTGTTGGTGTTGATAAGGTTCTGTTATCCTAAATAGAGAACCTGCACCATTCCTATTGGTGGTCCCCCAATGTGGCCCCTCAAATAAACACATACAGGAAGCTGAAGTGGAAAAGACATTTCTTTGGTTTTAATATTTGTCACCTCACTGAGTTACGCTTTCGTGGGTGCATCTATTTATGGACCTCCACCTCCCCGTTGCCTCAGGTTTAAAAAACATCTGATGGGGTGACTAGATCTGCTGTGCATTAGTCACATTTGCATTAAAGAGACAGAATGTTTTCTGTGTTTTTCACCCATGTCATCAAACATATCCTTTCACTGGGATTTCTCTAGCCTTGGCAGTATGGTGTCTAATCCAGGGGCCTAGCTGTCTATCCTGGCCAGGGTGAGCCAACAGTGCATTTACAGTTGCTAATCTATGAACAAAGGAGCAGTGCAGCATAGTTACAGTAGGTGGAAATGGGGTATTACAATTCTAGACACATCTGTAGAAACTGCAGAACAGTTCAATCTGTGGAAGCATGACTGAGGACTCCTGACAAAGTGCAGTTGCAATCTATGATATCTGACTTACTGCGAGTTATTTACCAGATAAACCTATATTTTAGGATAAACTGTGTTGTGTTGTGTGTGAGGAGGATGAACAGATTAATCCATCCAGCAGTCTCTAAAGCAAAACTGTACAACTTATGAATTAGCAAAAAATAATTATGTTAAGCCATTAAACATTGCATCTGTTATAACCAGTATCTTATGGTGGCTAATGTTAGCAGATAGTTACAGTACTGAGTCAGTTCATTGACTTGTGCTACTGCCGCACTATGTTTTAGCAGGTCACAGATTTACTGGTTTTATCTCAAAAGTAAAACAAGACATTTTACACAGCACTCCTCAACGGGGGGCATGTTTGCTGCTTCCACTCCACTTGCTTGCACTCAGGCTACTGAGAGGTAATTTTAGACAGCAAATGGTTGCCAGTGCGGCTGCCACCAGGCAACAGTGAGGTTCTGTATTTTCAATCAGCAGCAGTGTGGGAAGTGTCACTGCCACAGCGGCTCCTGGCTTTGTCCAATCCTGCTAACAACCAGTCTGCTGCTATCCACTTACTCTGATCTCGTGGTTAATAATATGACATAATTGATATGGCAAGTTTAGCTAAACATTACTGTTTCTTGGTGTAGAATGGATCATTAGACTTCAGAACTGATGTTTCACCAACACCACTGCTCTTCACCGATCCAGCTGTTTTCTACTGGTGAAGAAGTGAACCCATATATTAAAAAAAACAGCTGCTCTATACTTTTACTTGCTGTGGTTTCTCTCATTGTTATAGTTACAGCAAGCCACAGTGACAAGTTTAAGAAGGTGAACCATCAACCACCAACTGCCTTCTTCTTGCTGCTCAGCAGCATGGCTGCCTTCAGGTTTACATTGAAGACAAGAGAAGCATAGCTGTCTGAAGGCACCTTTATTCTGATGTCTTTAAAGCTACTGGCTCTAAAACATCTTTATGACATGCTCCTTGAAGACACATAGTGTAAATAGAGAGCTGTTATTACAATGTACTATATGTGGAAATCCTAGCTGAGCATAACAACTGGGGTAAGTTAAAAGTTCAAAAGGTCAAGGTCAAAGTGTTTATTTGTCATATGCAGTTAGGAAACATATTTTTCTGTACAATGAAATTCTTACTTTGCTGTCCACATGATTACCACACAATACAAGTGAAATATAAAGTAGATGAATAAGTAACACAAAAATCTAAGGCACTTTTAGCAGCAAATGCAGAGATGTAATAAAAGTATATAGGGATATAATAAGAGAATGTATGCTACATGGGAGCAGCATGTGCAGCAGTCAGCAGTCAATGTGCAATTATGCATGTGCAAACTGAGAATGTAAACAGTACAGGTCATCAGTACATGACCTATTTCCTGGTAATAAACTCCTGTCAGCTGTTTAGGAGTCTGATAGCAGAGGGAAAGAAAGAGTTTTGCAGTCTAGAGGTCCTGCATTTCACACTTTTGAGCCTCTGGCCAGAGAGTAGGGAGGTGAACAGTCTGTGCTACGTATGATCACATACATTAGCTAGAAAGAGGCTGGGTAATGGCGGTCGAGTAGCGCAAGCTTTTAGCCTAGCATGGAGTCCTCCTCGCTTGCCCCGCTTGCATCTCTGTCTCAAGGTCGATCTCCTGATTTCAGGCTACTCGCTTGTGCCTGGTGCTCCAGGAGCTCCCTCAGGGTGATGGTGGTTGTTGTTGTTGGTGTGTGGTGGTTTGGGAATGTGTGCCACTAATCACAGTATCTACAGAAATGACACGCTCCTTAAGGCAATGATTTTTTTCCCTAATCTTATTATCCTCATAGCTGGACTATGTATCAAAATATAACCGTAAGACCTTTATTATGCTTGTTGATAATGCATGTACAAACTGCATGCTCCTATATAAATTTATATTATATCTATAATTGTTGATCAAATTACCACAGATTAATGTGACACACTGCAAGCTTCCACCATAGGAGTGCTGTTTGGTATGTAGGCAAATCCTGAGGCTGTAATGTGTAGTCTGCTGTGTGCACTGTACATAATGAACACTTGAAGGAGACTGGATGCAGAACACAGTAAACTGCAAGAGGAACAGTGGGGGCACAGCTCATTTTGCCCCAAGCATCTCTAATGCAGCTCTGATTAAGTCAACCGAGCCATTAAAATACTTGCTAGATACCAGCTCAAAAATTCCATTAGATATAAGGCAGTAAAGATGATGGAGAGTTAATATCTTAAAAAGTACCTGCAAACCCCAGGCCTCCACAGGTGAAATATTCTGTTTCTGTCTAATTTCAGAATTTAAACTTTATAATCCCTAGATAAAACTGAAAGTCCCTTCTCAACACCCAGATCCGGTATTTCTTAGATTAACGATCATTATGTAGCCCACGAGTGTAACTTTCTTAATTAGAGACATTATGAAATTTCCTCCACAGGGAGAAATGAAATCCCATGTACACAGTAACTCAGATAATTAGCCTGATAAAAATGAAGCTTGATGTATCCCCACATGTAACTAATAAAATGTTTGCTTTTATGTCATTTGTGATTGCATATGGCTTATAAACTTCTGTTTTCTCTCCTCTGCTTTGACAACAGTTGCACTGAAAAGAGCACAGTGTGCTATTAAATGATGCTTCTGGGGTTTAGAGGAGCTCTCAGAAAAGCAGAACCGTGAAACTGTCAATATGCGTGTTCTGCAAGCTGTGTGAGCCCAGAGAGCTGCTGTTATGCATTTTAACTTACAGTGTTTGTTCCTCTGTGATGTTGATGCTCAGTGCTGTGGGAAAACACTGGCTGACCTAATCTTCTTTCATGTATTTGAAAACAGCCCACAGAGAAGTGCTACTGAGGGCTGCAAGGGCCAACTGGAATGATAAGGTGGAGCATCACTGTGACACATTTATGAGTCTCATCTGATAATCAGTGATGTAGAATAATTTGCTGATGCTGTCAGCCCAAAATAGCAAAAAGCAGGATGTTTCCTCTGTGCCAGATTGTCCCATCTGAACACATAAACTTTCTTTTTTCAGCCTCAATCTATAACCATCATTGTGAACTTCGAAGTACTGAAAATAGGATTCCATTCAGTGGAATGTGGGGAATATACTGCACAGTATATCCCTCCTTTTCTGCATAGACTATTTTACCATTGATGTGATCACGCAGTGCAGCTCAGAATAGGCCTACACTGTGGCATCCTGTGACCCAACTGCAAAGACAGATGAGATAGAGAAAGATCACAGACGATCTGGCCCAGGCTTTTTTTTTTCACACCAGGAGTTACGTCCACTGAGGCAACATCAGCTTACTGAGTCTGCCATGTGATATGTGACATATTGTGTTGAGAAAGAGTAGGTAAATGGTAAATGGTCTTATATTTGTATAGCCCTTTTCTATGCTTTACAGCACACTCAAAGCGCTTTCACACTACTTGGCCATTCACCCACTCAAACGCTCACACATTCACACACTGGTGTAATAGGGAAGACACTATGCTGACAGCTGGAACTGGGCACGAGTTAAAATCCCTTCTTCCAGGTAGCAGCTTTGCTGCGCACAGATTAACAAGACTACAGCGGCCAATGTGACTGTAATGCACAAATGACTGAAGGGTGTGTGAATTTGTTTTGCTAGTGGTGATAAGGATACTCTGTATCCCTGTAAATATACTCCTCTCAATCAGATAAACAAATATGAAAGTAAATTGTCCTATTTAATGCAAGTTCTCAACATCTCAAGTTGTTTTAGGAATATGCGTGTTAGAGGATGGTCTGATGGCAGGGAGACACACCACAGCAGTGACTTCATCACATCATGTGGTCAAGCCTTTTTAGGAAAATTGGTACAGAGAATTATCAGCTGAATATGCAGCTCCTCTTGGGCATTACAGAGCATTTTCAGCTGTCCTGCTGTAGCATTACTCTCACATATCTGTAAGCGCAGAATCAGTTTTCAGAGCATAATCCCAGCCATGCATGTGCTCGTTTCGAGTCTGCATTCTCAGATTTCTCCACTGGGGTTTATGTGGAAATCTTTTGGTGCCAAAAGTTTTGAAAGCATGCAAAAGAAGTTGTGAGCACTATTCAGTGTGCCAATCAGAAAAAAATGAGAGCACGCAGGCGTGGATTTGTAAAAGCATAATCACATTTGAGAGCGAAGGAGGATTTCTGCTCCTCGCTCAAGTCACCTGTTACACTCAGTCCACCCTCGCTGAGAAACGAACACACAGATGGCTGGGATTATGCTCTCAAATTTGATTCTGTGCTTACAAATCTGTTCCTGCGTGTTTTCAAATGCTGAGATGCAAAGTGAGTAGTGCTCGAAATGTAGTTAGAGTGCCCTCAAATATTTCGGCAAGGAGTTTCTCCCATAGACCCCACTCCAAATAAATGATAGTACTACTTTGTAACTGCTGGACGTGTAACTATGCACATGTTTGCTTTATCAATTTACAACATATGTTTTAAAAAAATTTGAAAGACATGGAACTTAAAAAAAAACATTCTCTGAACATACACTAATCTGGAGTTTTGCAGAATTGTCATTTTAACTCTCGCGTGATACGGTTAATAAACACACTCACAGCATATCTCATTTGACTTGAATCTACATGTTTCTAATCTATGGAATCAGTGACATAAAATGATTTGTCCAGCATCTTTGCATATAACAAGAGGAAATTCTGTACAATACTTTAGCTTTGGATCTACTGGTTCAACTTTGTTATATGATGTAACTTCAAAACAACCTGAAACTGTTCATACGGAATGTCCAGAGAACATACAAAAGACGCTAAAACAGTTTCTCCGAGAAAGATGTGAATGCAAACTCTAATATGTTTATGCTGAAATCTGCAGGTCCTGCTGTCCCTGTTGGGGTGGATGTTCAGGTGGAGAGCTTGGACAGCATATCAGAGGTCGACATGGTGAGTGGCTTGGGCATGGCTACACATACAGTAGTAAGGGTATGGGGAAATAAATAACACATAGCTGTAGCTTTACTGCAAAGAGAGCTGAAACCTGCTACAGATAGTGAAACTAACAGCAATTAAAATAGATTAAATCTGGGGCAAACCAAGGGATTATTTGGATTATTCTCTTTCTCAATCACATTTGAAAGGACAGACCAGCACTAACTAAAAATCAGTCAGTCTGTGACTTAATTTGCCGATGTTAAAGGATGACCTCACACTGCTTCAACACATGGGGAAGAAGTTCTCCTCAGATGGAGCAGCTAATGACGCACTGCAGGGACATTTGTCATTAACAGCATGAGAATTGACACATGAGCACCACAAAGGCTGTAGTAACACACTAATCCAACTGATGAAACACACCAGATTAGACCCTGTAAGTAATAATTAACTGTGTCTTGGCATTTGAGGGATTCTGTACATTGAACTGAGAGATGAACGTGTCATTTTACTTATGGTAGTAGTTAGTTTTCAGTTGGATAATCAGAAATACATTATGAAAGCTAAAGTGGACCAGTTTATTTTGCTCAGAGTCAGACTGAATGCATGTTGAGTATTGTAATTAAATGAACCCTCTGTTGTGGAGGCATAAACTGGACTCAAAACCATCTATCCTCATGTTGTGTAAACTCTTGTTTGCAAGGATAACCAAGGATTACATTTCATCTGGATCCCAGGGTTGTGTATTTAATTGTTTTGGAACAGAGTGAAAAAAAGATTGCCAATGACAGCTGCTCTTAATCACGTTATGTCATATCACAAAGCTGCAAGAACAGTTTCACAGTAAATGATCTTTTACAAAAATTTGATTATAAAGGATGGAGGTTATGTTTTTGGCCCTCTTTTTGTATGTGTGTGGGTGTGTTGCTTAGCAGGATTACAGACAAGTGGCTGAAAGGATCATCAGCATATTTGTGACCAACCCTGGAAGCGATTTTGGCTGGAAAAGGGTCAAAGGTCAAGGTCACAAAAATAACAAATAAATATTTCCATCTTTAACATGGGGCAAAATTAAAAAAAAAACTTATCTCCATCACAAGTTATCAAAATCATTTGACACACATATATAAGGTGGCAATGTCTATCACCAGACCAAATTTCATCTGGATCTCACGGTGATTTATAGTTAACACTGAAAACCCCATTTAACACATATTTTCTGCCATAACATGGCCTATAGTAAAGATAGAACCCTGAAATGTTTAGGCAAGACGCACAGTATAACTACCTTTCATATCCTAAAAAATTATCCAAATTTGATTCAGATCAAGGGTTTTAGGACACATTTTGTGTTGTTCTGGAACTCATTTTTCACAAGGGACCCATTTGCATGAGCAAATGTTGTGCCTTGGCAGACATACCTGCACTCTGTGAGTCCTCTCGTTCTGTATAATTCTTAATGTCAACAAATCCCAAAATAAGTAATACCAAAGCAAATTTAAATATAAATTTCCTTAAACAGCTGGGTGCTGTAGTTTTTAGCAAACATCACTAACTAGCAGGAAATGATGCCTTTTCAGAGGGAAGCTGTGAGAGGATGAGTCAAATGAAATACCTGAGGCCCTCAAGAAAGCATAAAAAGCTCTGCACTTCTAAAATGTCACTTTCTTATTGTCATAAGTAAATTATCCTCTCCCAACCGGAGGGTCATGGGTTCAAATCTCGGTGTCTGCAGTCCACATGTTGACATGTCCTTGGGCAAGTCACTGAATCCTCAAGTTGCCCCCGATGGTTAGAGCCATCAGATGGCAGATGGCTGCTTCAGTTCTGTACCAGAAAGAAATTCCTTGTGTGTAACATACTTGGCCAAATAAAGGTGATTATTATCATTGTTGGCTGAATACATTGTCTTTTTATTTCTAAAACAATATTGGAACCTTTTATCATTAGAGATATGAAACAAGGTGACAAACACAATGGAGGGCAGCCACCTTAACTTTGCTTCCACACAAGTCAATAATCTTGTTGATAGTACTGCAGCCTCCCTGCGTATCCCACTTGATACTATTTCCCCTCTGAAAAAGAAGGCAGTGAAACAGAGGAGGCCCCATGGTACAGCTCACAGCTCCGCTCTCTAAAGCAGGCATCACAAAAACTGAAAAGGAGGTGGAACCCCACTAAGTCAGAAGAGTTTTTCCTAGCCTGGAAAGATAGTTTGACATATTAAAAAGCCCTTCATAGTGCCAGAACCACATATAATTCATCACTGATAAAGGAAAATAAAAACAACCCCAGGTTTCTTTTCAGCACTGTAGCCACTGTGCTGTTGAGCTTAACATTCCCTTAGATCTCAGTAGTAACGACTTCCTGAGTTTCTTTACAAACAAAATCACAATTATTAGAGAAAAAATTGATCAAATCATTCCCACAACTTCACATACGTGCCATCAACTACAGTGGCTTTAGAATCATCTGTAAAACATCAGTTATATTTAGACTGCTTCTCTCCCATTGATCTCTTTGATTTGACCTCAACAATTGCTTCATCTAAATCATCAACATGTCTCTTAGACCCCATCCCGACCAGGATGCCCCTAATCAAGGATAAGGATAATCACCTTTATTGGCCAAGTATGTTGCACAGAAGGAATTTGTTTCCAGTACAGAACCGAGGCAGCCATCTGTGGCGCCAACTCAACCGAGACCAATAGCCAATCTCCCATTTATATATTGATGGAAGGATGTTGGAGATGGAGCTGCCAGGCAAGAGGTCAAGAGAAAGGCCAAAGAAGAGATATATGGATGTGCTAAAAGAGGACATGAAGTTAAATGGTGTGAGAGTAGAGGATGCTGAGGATAGAGTTAGGTGGAAACAGATGATTCGCTGTGGTGACCCCTAACGGGAACAGCCGAAAGAAGAAGAAGAAGAAGAAGAAGATCCAATCTCCCATTTATTTCTAAAATCCCTGAAAAAGCTGTTGCAAAGCAGTTATATGACCACTTGCACAAGAATGATTTGTTTGAGGTTTTTCAGTCAGGATTTAGAGTCCATCATAGTAAAACTGCATTGGTGAAAGTCACCAACGATTTTCTCCTAGCCTCAGACAAAGGATATGGCTCCATACCTGTACTCTTAGATCTCAGTGCTGCTTTTGAAACCACTGATCACAACATTGTGGAGGAAAAAATGTTTTTTTAATGCTAGAAATTTTCAACAGAGCTGAACTCTTGGTGGGCGGCCGTCTGCCTCAAGCAGTTGGGTTTGAGGAGTTACATCTATTGCAGAAGTACAGTAAGTTCCCTGTCTCAGACATTAGCAGTTATCATCAGCTCAGAGATCACATCAGACCTGCCCAGAGTTCATCTCACCACCGGCTGTTCAGAGGAAACTGTATGAATCAGCTGCAAAGAAAGCTCTACTGAGGGGGAGCAGTCAAAAGAAAGGAACTGCTGGGGCCAAGAAACAAATAGAATGAACATTAGACATCATCAGACTAATGAGTCTGAATTTGCGATTTATGGTTCCAACTGTCTGTGTGTGTGGAGCATGGAGGAGGAGGTGTGATGGTGTGGTGCTGACATACATTTTAAAACATCTTTCATTAGCAAACTTACAACACATCACAGTTAATACTCATCCGAGGGATTCAGACATGCCCCTGAACTCATCTGACACAACATCAAGGGCACTTTTATGGTGGGTGCCAAGAATATAATGTGCTGCTACAGCCATTATTCCAAACTGATAACATTATGAAATGAATGCCATGAGGAGAAGAGGATGATCTCCTGTGGCAGCTGCAAGTAGTGCAGACTAAAATCACTCCTGCATAGCAACAGGAAGGAAGGAGGCAAGAAGACTAATGTACTCTAAGACCAATGGAAGATGTTGACTGTGCTTAATTAACATATGTTCAGCACTTCTGTTGTCCATGAATGTTTACTCATTAATGATCCACATAATCAAGCACAGGTTGCAGCAACATAATGCAAGAGAAATTTTAAAAAAAAGCAGAGAAAACAGAGGTGACAAGCAAGTAGAGTCCTTGTAGTGTGACCTAATCCAGAGGCTGTATGTGTTTCTGTCACCCCTTCTCCCTCTCCCTCAGGACTTCACCATGACCCTGTATCTGAGGCATTATTGGAAGGATGAGAGGCTGGCCTTCCCAAGCGCCACCAATAAGAGCATGACCTTTGATGGGCGACTGGTAAAGAAAATCTGGGTTCCTGATGTGTTTTTTGTTCACTCCAAAAGATCTTTCATCCATGACACTACCACTGACAACATCATGCTGCGCGTCTTCCCTGACGGTCATGTCCTGTACAGCCTGAGGTGAGGACCACCAGGACTTCACAGGGTTTCTCCACACCAACCAAATGAGACTTGACAGGCCCTGGAGTAGACTGTGTACAGCTGGTGAGATTTACTCTGCTTTAATTCCCTAGGGTTACAGTTACTGCTGCATGCAACATGGATTTCAGTCGTTTCCCTTTGGATTCACAGACATGCACACTTGAACTGGAGAGCTGTAAGTATTCATATACCCCACTGTTTTGTATCACAAGTCGAACGTCCCCTGGTGGTTGGTTGCATCATATTCTAACTACAAATCAAATCCATTTTTCCCAAAGGTGATTTCTGTCATTTTAGGTAGATATTATCACACTGATTTGTATACAAGTGGTCTTTTTTATGTTATTAAAATGATCACAAAAGCAAAGACGGCCGCCCTCATAGTTGCAACATTTTGGCCTCACCTTTGCATAGTGGCAGGAAATGGCGACACATTGTACATCTTTATATACAGTCTGCTGTGTGATACAACATCATGCAGTAGTCATGTCATACTCACCATTCCACCAGTCTTCTTTAACAGAAAGTCTTTAATTAACAAATAGCTTCCGGGTGCCTCAGTTTGCCCCCGTTTGGTTGCTGGTAATATACCATCAGTGACATTTTCAGCATATTTCACAGATATTTCTGCAGCCTTTAAAGGCAGGCTTCCTCTGCCCTGAAATGTATTAGTCCCTACAGTTTGTAGTAGGCTTTTCATCTGAATTAAAACAAAAAACAAACATAATAGTGCCCTCCAATCACCCTGCAGATGGACAAACATTCTTCATTTTTGTAAAGATGTTAGTTTTTTGTTTAAGTATCTATAGAAGCAGAAGTGTTGGATTTCTCTCTTGTTCTACCTCTTTCTTCCTTTACCGTATATATTCTCATTTCCAGATTGAATAGAGTTGGGCACATACACACGTCACATGAAAATCTCTTGTACTCATACATGCTAATATCCTAATGTTCTTTTGTAAATGTCCTCTGTTCATTTCTTTGTTTTCCATGTTCTGTCCTGTTAACATCCTGTTTTTTGTTGCAGTGTAGATAAAGACTAGTATTAGCTTGAATTAGTTAATGAATCAAAATCATATTGTGTTAAAAAAAGAAACTGAGAACAACAGAGTATATATACAAATATGGCCATCCCTTATTAAGTGACAGCCATTTGTTTGCCTATTAACTGTCACTCAGCCATCAGTTAAATACAAACATTTGCTGTGTTTTGTAATGTGTCTTTCAGTTTTCAAAGCTCCAGTTGCTGTCCTGATACGGAAACTGGGTTGACTCCAGACATGTAAATGTATGCTCTCTGTCCACCAGATGCTTACACTGATGAGGATCTGATGCTGTACTGGAAAAGTGGTGATGAGTCTCTGAGCACAGATGACAGGATTTCTCTGTCTCAGTTCCTCATCCAGAAATTTCACACTACCTCTAGACTGGCTTTCTACAGCAGCACAGGTACCAAGGCAAAACAAACACTGAGCTATTTTTTATGAGGCTGCATTACCCCTGGGAATTTCCTCTGCTCTTAGGGGCCCCAAAGTCCCCAGGTTCACTGTGGCCTGGAGAAATCTGATTATATAAAGTTTAATGTTGTGCCTAATCTTGAGATTGTTTTGTTGAGGAGTCCCATGACAACATTTACTTTTAACACCATTAATCTATGTGCACTTAAAGGGTGCATATTCTTAAATGACCCATCTGTCTATTAGTTATATCTTAACCTCAGAATTAGGACATCTGTCTAAATCAATACAGAAATCTCTTAAGGTTCACACAAAATTCACACAATTTGTAAGGTAAGTTATTAACATTTTGTATAGGTATAATCTGTTATTGGCTTTATAACTTCAAAGAAAAAGATAGAGATGCACCAATAACATTTTTTTCAGACTGAGTACCAATGAGTACTTGCCAGTACTAGTGCCATTATAGGTACTCAATAATAATGCAGTGTTCCTACATTAAAGTGTGAATAACGTTAGAGACAGTTTTATTTTCATGAGGTTTATTTTCTGATTGTGATTAAATAAAATATACTGTATACCAGGAAGCTGTACAAGTTAACTGGTTCATTGGTCTGTTTGGTTTGGTTTTATATGCCCCTCCAGATTTCTATAATCTCTGTGCAGATTAGTTGTTCATTCCCCTCATTTTTTAATCACAGCATTCTTCTATTTTACCAGTAACAAATGAAACAATTCTCAAGCGTACCTCATGTTTTACACTCCACTGTGTAGCTTTTACACTCAAAACTGCAGGGTCGTGTGCTCACCTGCACAAAGTATTTTAGTTCACTTTTATGAATTATTTCAAAAGGTCTAATCATAGTGACATTCTCTTTGTCACAGCTTTGAATACATTTGAAGTCAGACGTTTCCACACACCTGAACCAAATACATGTAAACTCGGTTTTTCACAACTCCTGACAGTTAATCCAATAAACACTCCCTGTCTTAGGTCAGTTAGGATCACTGCTTTATTTTAAGAATGTGAAATGTCAGAATAAATGTAGAGAAAAAGATTTATTTCAGCTTTTATTTTTTTCATCTCATTCTCAGTGGGTCAGACTGGGTTAGTATAGGAAGCTTTAAGTTCCTAGGCCTTAAAATACATCCACAGATTCACCTCCTACCAGAAGCTTCTAAAGCAATGACATCATTTTCTGGAATTTTCCAGGCTGTTTAAAGGCACAGTCAACTGAGTGTTGTTAGGTATTTTTAGTCAGATAGATATTGGATAGATACTTTATGTATTAGAAATGTTTAGTGGAGATAGGATGTCTAGTTAGACTGTTAAAAGCTTAGTCATGCTTATGAGTTTCTACAGGGTACATCTGGTCAAGGATAACTAGAGAGAAGAGTTGATGACTGTCAGCAGACAGGGTGTTTAATATTATTATTATGACGTGTATAACTGTAGCCTTAGCCATAATATGTTCTTATGTTTAAGTCACGACATGTTCTAGAAGTCTGTGAGAATGTTTTTAGTTACACACCACTTAATCAACAGACACACACGCACATTGATTTGCTTCATGTTTTGACTACTGCTCTGACCAGCTGCAAAGCTGGTAACAGAGACATCTCGGTTGACGTTTCTGGGTAGTATGGGGCTAGCCCAACCGAGGGGATATAATGTATAGGCCTGGTGGGCTCAGGGTCTTTCATCTTACATCTGCCTGTGTGCATGTTGGAGGTGCACGATACCTGAGCGTGTAATGTTAATTTTACCTGTGATCCTTTGAATAAATCAGCACTGTTTTGAAGTTACTTGGACTGTCTCCTCTCTCAGAGTTAGCAAAGGTAAGAAGAACCAAATAGTCCGACAGTATATGTAAGCTTCTGACCCACTGGAGTTGTGATATAGTGAATTATAAGTGAAATAATCTATTTGTACACAACTACTGGAAAAATTACTTGTATCATGCATTTGCCACCTCCCAGTGATGATACCGGTGTGTGAATGTGTGAGTGCTTGGGAGTGCGAATGGGTGAATGGCCAAATAGTGTGAAAGGGCTTTGAGTGTGCTGCAATGCATGGAAAAGAACTATACAAGAATAAGACCGTTTACCATTTACTTCTTTGTCTCCAGGCTGGTACAATCGTCTGTACATCAACTTCACTCTGCGACGTCACATCTTCTTTTTCCTGCTGCAGACCTACTTCCCTGCCACTCTGATGGTCATGTTGTCCTGGGTGTCCTTCTGGATCGACCGCAGGGCTGTCCCTGCCAGAGTCTCATTAGGTAAGAAGATATGCAACACAGTGACTATCCTGCCTGTTTAGGTCCCTCGTCTGCTGTGTCCAAAGCATAACCCAGTGAGCAAAGGAAAACCCAAATGAGAAACTGTCTATATTTTGGGAAATTTGCTCTTTTTTTTCTTTCTAACATGGAATCAAAATGATATTTCTGATAAAATGATTAAGTTGCAGAGCTGGAGTCAGTATATTGTTTGTCTAGCTTAGCATGAAGACTGGATCAGGGGGAAACATTTCAGAAGCAACTAATTAATATACTGGCTCTCATTTATGCAAACTGAAATGGTTCTGGGGAGAGTTACAGAGATCAGTCGAGAGAACTTAGCACTAGATTTTTAAGACCAACATAATGACTGATAAAAACTGCCTAGTGACAAATCTAACTCTTTGGACAGAGCTTAGCTCCCATCTCTTGTTAGTCCCCAATATTTATCAACAAATGCATACTGAAGATAAAATAAAGTAATAATAGCTAATGCTAAAGCTAGCATTAATGAATCAATAAATTGCTGAAGAAATAGATCCAGCACATAGAGTGGCACATAGACTGCGGAGGAGATCACCAAGACTCCACTGCCCTTTTTGCAGAGCATCTACCACCACAGAGTCCGAAGAAAAGCTGCCTCCATCTTCAAGGACCCCACCCACCCCCAGTATGGACTGTTCACACCTCTACCTTCAGGCCGAAGGCTCAGAAGTGTGAAATGCAGGACTTTTAGACTGAAAAAGTCTTTCTTTCCAACTGCCATTAGACTCCTAAACAGCTGAAGGAGTTTATAATCAGGAATTACTTCATGTAATTCCTTTACATTCCAAGTTTGCACATGCACCTCTGCACATGCATAATTGCACACTCACTGCCGCCTATTGCACATCCAGCTCCAATGTAGCATAATTTGTCTCCACTTGCTGTTTTTAATTGCCTTTGTGTACTATTTACCTACCTTATAGTTTACCTTGCATTGTTTGGCATTCATTGTGGACAGCAAAGTAAGAATTTCATAGTACAGGGAAACACGTTTCCTCACTGTGTGACAATAAACTGAGTCTTGAGTCTTGAGTCACTCCCCTTAAAACCACATATTATAATTTTTTATTCTGTCTGTGTACAGCTCTGCCACTATCCGTTTTTGCTAGGTTAGGTTAACATTTCTTGATTTTAGTTCTGTATTTTCATGAGATTGATATGAAACCTCTCATCTAGATCTCAAAAATAAAACCATTAATTGTATTTTTAAAATGGTTAAGTATTTTTTAACACTTACCCTTATTTCTACTATAGGTATATCTGCTGGATGGAAATGTCCACAAATTTTTATAAAGATGTTATCCTTATTGGAAACACTTGGAATCAGTACAACCTGAATTAAATCCTAATTGTCCTACATAGCTCAGACCTATAGGATTCTAGTTACAGAGGTTAAATTATATCAGTCCCCTATATTTTCACAAAAGCATTTTTGGCTGCAGTGTTAACACAAGGTTGTATGTTCTCTTTGCTTCAGGTATAACTACGGTGCTCACCATGTCCACCATTATCACTGGAGTCAATGCCTCCATGCCCAGGGTCTCCTACATCAAAGCTGTGGATATTTACCTCTGGGTTAGCTTTGTCTTTGTGTTCCTGTCCGTGCTTGAATATGCTGCTGTCAATTATCTGACAACAGTAAGGGATGGTAAAGATCGGAAGCTCAGAGAAAAAGTCAGGGAACAGGTACAGAGACCTTTACAGAAATGGCATGTCTCCAAATGGTGCTTTTCAATTTTTGTTCAAGAGTAATTTCTTTCCTCTCTTTCACTTAATCCCAGACCCTCCCTTGCACCTGTGACATGTCCCATGCCAGGACCATGATGCTGGATGGGACATACAGCGAGGAAGATTCCAACAGCTTGGCAGGGTACACCAGAGCCTCCATGGCAGCTGAGGATGCATCTGAAAAACAGGAGCGAATGGTGGTGCATCTTGCCCTGGACAACGAGTCCACAGGAACTAAAAAGAAGGGCATCCGCAGCTTCCGGATCATTCAGAAGTCCCACACCATTGATACCTACTCGCGCATGATCTTTCCTGGCTCCTACATCCTGTTTAACCTGATCTACTGGTGTGTGTACTGCTGAATGTGTGTGTTATAGCCTTAACTATAGCAGTGGATAAAAAAACTGAAACCATTTCATTGACCATAGAAGAGAGATAGTTGTTCTCATACGCCATATTCAGTAGGCGCAGTAAGCTTGGCAAGATGGTTGATGAGTCTCACAGGCTTCTGGGTGTGAATTTCACCAGCTCTGGCTTACAAGTCAACTGGACTGAACCACTTATACAGCTTCACCTTTATAGAACTGTATCACAGATAAAGTTATATAACATCCAATAATATATCATCCAATAACCTCATGGGGAGACCCTGTAAAGCCTGACACATCAAAAAATAGCCAGAACATTCTAATTTTTTGGAACTGAGATGTTTATTAAACCTTTTAACAAAATCCAAAAGATAATGTACCATATTATTTAGTTTATATATTTATTTATTTATTGTATCAAATTTGATAAATGGGGCATTTTTGTCAACTTTTTTTTTGCTCAGAAACTCGCATAGCAAATAATGATACAAGTGGTTTTATAGGGTTAAGTTTTGCTCTTTTACCAGACTAATGCCAGTTGTACAAAAATAAAGCAGTAGGTAACAGCTGTATCATTGCTGGCACATTCATGTGGTTTCTTGCAACACTACATATATTTTACATTCTTTTTTTCCCCTGTTTTGGTCTCCATCAACTCCTAAGAAAAATATCTGGTGCTTTAGCTGCTAAATAGCTTGCTGCAACCTTAGTCCTTGCTCTTTGCCTTTTGGCAGGGAGTGTAGTGGTTGATGTGGGTGGAGTTGGTGTGCCAGAAAACAAAAAGAGGACAAAAAGCTCTGTGGTGTAGAGGGGAAAAGAGTTAATAATTTTCTGTGGGTTTGACACTATGAGCAGCCCCTTTAACATTAATGTCATGTGATTTGTGGTTAATATAGGAAAATTTGTAAAACTTTCAAATTGTCACGAAAGTGCTGTGGAGTTGAAGAACTTGTATGTCTATCTGCAGTTGGATTGTTAGGTCTGAGCCATAGTCAGAGTCTGTTTGTGTGCAGCCAGCCCCTGTCCTTGGCTGCTATTGCCTCTGTAACCTTTGGAACTGACTGAATCACTTAATTGAATGTGTCCAGAGCAGATGCCTAATGAGGCAGTAAGTGAAATAAATACCAGGGTTTCTTCCCTTAACAGCGCTTCCATCTACAGTGACAACATTTCAATTAAAGTGAACCCATAAAATCAGGACTAAACATGACACTATACTGGACTTTAAAGCATCATACATCACTGTTGCTGAACATAGTATTTATTCATGTATTTGTGGGCTTCTTTATTTGCTGATTTTTTTTTCATATTTATTTATAATGGAGCAATGGATCCATGTGCCATTATACCTTAAGTTGGCAGAGTGTATGACACTGGGCTTGTACAATAACTGCTTATTCCATAATGCAAGTGTGATACTCTATCTTTCTAGTTGTATATTTCTTATAAAGAACTTTAAAACATGGAAAGCTTTACCAGTGATGTAACCAACTTGAACCGCCTTAAGTGAACATTTTTATTGGTTTAATGAATAATGAATAATGAATAAATGTTTTTTTTTTGTCATTAGTTTGTTTGATTATCATGACTGTCAACATAGTTTTATTGAGGTTTTCAGAGTAGTATTCAATTCAGTTTGGCATTTAATTATGTGAGTAAATACCAAGCTTGAAGTTTTGGGCTAGTCAAAGAGTGTGGTGTCTGAACCCGGCTCAGACCTGACAAGCTCATAGCATATAATGTCCAAACCTGATCCAAGCTGGATGCAGGTGAGTTTGTGCAGTGTTTTTTCCCTTATGATTAATTGCAGCTGATATTTGAGTGATCTATCCTAAAGTTTAACCTACATGACCTAACCCAGACCTGAACATAATTTCTAAATTTCTGTCCTGGCCTAAACCTTTGGATTCCGATGGGCTTGTTTCAGGTATCCACACTGTACTATGCCATAGCCTATGGCAGCTACATTATAGGCTTGCAAGTTATGCCATAGGCTACTATGTATGTAGCTGATGTGCAACTGGTCCAAAAGGACAACATTAAGGAAGTTAAAGAAAGACTGTATGCTTTTTGTGTTTTTACTAATGGATATGTAACAGATTAATTACATGGCAAACCTTCTGCTCTGTATGTATGCCACTGTATGAATGAATTAACTGGAATTATACTGTAATTCTAGCCCTATAATGTTTGAAGCTGAGCCTACCAATATTCGATTGGTCAAATATTTCTCCAGCCACGGTAGCTGGCTGTCAGTGTGTACAATCCCAGCCATTTGACTGAGTTAGTTGTATCTCCCTGCTTTCAGTCTTAATGCTAAACTAGGCTAGCCACCTTTTGGCTCTAGCTCAATAGTAATATACTGCACTGATAAGGGAATGGTGTTAGGTTTTTCATATCACTTTCAGTAAGAAAGTGAAAATGTGCATTTTGCAGTCTGATCTCTTAAGTATTAATTAAGTATTGTGCTTTAGCTTCATGGCAACATTCATTTGCCAAGACTACATGTGATGTTTTTAGTGGTGCATATCATTTTGGAATGAAACTCTCCATAAGTCAGATTATTTCTGTGTACAAATAAAACAAGAAAGATTAGCACGCTTGCAGAAAACAATCAGAATGTAATGTTTTCAGAGTATATTTCATAAATAAAGTCTTTCATTCACACATTTAAATGAGTCCTGATTTACAGCTTTGAAAATGCAACATACTGTATCTATACACAAACACCATAATGCTGTCAAGTTCCTCCACTCTGTGTTCTAATAAGTGAAATGGTTAAAGACCAACTTTAATATATGTGACACACGTCCATCTTTCTGCATTCATCTAATTACCATATAAACAAATCACATCAGATTTGTCTTTGGCACCACTGCTTATAAACCGTGCTGCTGCAGTAAGGCAACAGATCCCACACCCTCATCTGGGTTGTTTTTTTATGTAGCTGCAGTTTTAAAGTAATACACTGACTCATGCTGTGGCTTGTAATATACTGTGTCTGGGAAAAATTAATCAAAAATAATTAACATTTACACCCTTTTTTTGAAAAGCCACACAAGATAAATAGCTTTATAAATCCCTGTGTGTGCAAACCTAATGACTGAGTAGTTTGACTGGATATGAACAGGGAGGAAAAGCATCTGGTTCAACCTGAGCTGACCCAGATCTGGAGGTTGTAGTCTGTTTTTATTATTATTATTATTTTAAATCATTGATCAGTTGATATAAAAACATGTTACATAGTTAAAACCCCCTATTTGAAACCCTAATAAAATCCATTATTAACATGGGAACTCAGCTGGAATGTTAAATCATGTTAGTGAAAGATGGTTTACACGTTTACATCATTGTTGCAGTGAAACGTAATGATATAGCAAGTGTTACTCTATATACCCAAAATATTTGTTTGGCTCAATGCCACTAGAAATACTTGATACATATATCTTCATTGTATATGTGTGTGATATGGGTTAAGTGTCCCTTTAACAACATTCTATGTTGTTGATGAGAACACCAGATTAGCATTATCATATCTCAACCTGTCAACTAACAGGAGTCTCTGGAAATCCCATCCTTTCATTTTCTTCATTGCTAATGTTATGGAGGTTTCCTTATGAATAATTACTGCATAAAAAACATACTTGACACCTTGTACATCTCAACAGCTATTTTTATTTCACTGTAAAATACAGTAACATCACCCAGTAATTATGAGTTGGATGTTGGTGTACACAGTACATAGTACACATCAGACAAGGTTAATTATGATAACATTCACCATTTTTTGGCTATTGACAGTAAAAGTCAGCAAGGTTATAAATACCAAACAATTTTAAAGGACTACTTCAATATTTATACAAATGCACTTGTTTTCTTCCTTTCTAAAAATGAGCAGTTCAAAATCAATGTCATGTCTGTGTGTTAAAGCTGCATTAACTGATTTTTGGCCACTTTGGAACAGTGTAACCAGCTGGAAGTACAACATCTGACATATTTATAATTTACCTCACAAAACTCATATGGTGATAGTTTTCTATTTATACATTCAGCAGACATAGAGCATTTATTTGGACTGTACTTGATGACTGTTTGTCCAATATTCACAGGTCTCCACCAGCTCCCAAGAAAAGTAGGTACGTATCTGTGTCTTTAGCTGCTAAATGCTCTAGTTTGCCCACCAGCTAGTGTCTGTCCATTGTTTGGTGCTGGACACCAGACAATTTTTTTGTTTGTTTGTTTGTTTCTTTGTTGTTGTTGTTTTGCTGAAAACAAAACATCTGCTTGCTGCTGAGATTAATGACAGTGATGAGAGAGAGCCAAAGTTTAAAGTAAAGTGTCCTAGGTCGTCAAAGTTGATATAAGGGACTTGGAACATCCTACATCCTGACCAAGGACAAAGGAATGCTCTTATAAGAGACAAAAGATGTACCCACTGAACTTCATGTTGCTCCTTGTGGCCAGACCTGTGCCATTCATGGCAGCTCCTTGATTATGTGTGTGAATTGTTGGGTGTGAAACAAAGATTATAAATCATTTTGTCTGTTAAGAAAGAAAAGGGATAGATAAGTGAGGTCTGTGATTCTCTGTGGATTTATCACCAGAAGCAACATTACACAGTAATTTTTCCTATCCTTCTACAAAAATATTGAACTGGATTTGGGGTGTGATTCTCCAGCAGAAGTCTGGTAGAAGAGGGAAACAGCTAGTCCTACTCTTGTTAAGGTGAAGAAAAAACATACTGTACATCTACCACCACTTCTAAAACTTACTAATTGGTGGGAATACTCAAAGACTAGCGTGTGTGACCTCAGACACAGAAGGAGAAGTCATCCTCATCTTAAAAATTTCTCTTTAACTTGTCCTCAGAAGTTATGTTCTTAGCATGGTAAGCTGAGTTTGAGAGGTTTGTTTAGCATAACCTCTGGCTGACTGAGGAGACTCTCAGCAGCGAACATCTCTGTAGTATAGAGAATGTGAAGTTATGGTCACGCAGTGTGGAATTTTGGGTAAACGTGCTGTTTTGGGAGCGTCACGCTCATTATCAATCATAGTTTAAAAAAAGGCAAATTCCTCAGTTTGGAAAACATTAAGAATGTCCAAATACAAAGGGCAGACTAACAGACAGGTTTAGTTCACACCTGACAGACTTCACAATAGGTGAGAGACAATCAGGTACTGGTTGAAAAGGTAGAACAGGTTAAATAGGCAGCAGATAATACCAATGGGGCAGCACGGTGGCACAGTGGTTAGCGCCGTTGCCTCACAGCACGAAGGTTCCAGGTTCGGGCCCCACCTGGGACCTTTCTGTGTGGAGTTTGCATGTTCTCTC